GCAAACCACCCAAACCTATACCTTTTAGGGTTTAGGACCTAAACTCAGTTAGGTCCATCTTGGTCAACAATAACACATTTTCATTTGTGTACGCTGAAGGTCCTGAATGCAGGAGCGCTCTGGAGTCTTCTGGACAGACTGACCGGAGGCGGAGGCCCGGCCCTTGGAGACGTGGAAGTTCTTGGAGCGAGGATGCTTTTAGGCCCCTGCTCCTGGAGCCTGGCACCTTAGAGCTGTGCGGCAGACCAAGGGTGGCATTTGTGGAGGTCAGTATTGATTGCTGGAGGCCTCTAAAGCGTCCAGCTGCTGGAATTTTGTTGGAGGCCCTGAGCTCCCCGAGGCTGTAGGCCCCTGAAGGCCCGGAGGCCCCTGGAGGCCTCCAGGGGCCTGGAGGCGTGGAGGCCCCCTAAAGGCCTCTTCACGCTTGGAGGCGCTTCCCTGCAGGGTCCGAGGCCTTGGAGGCCCAGTCCTGGAATCCCTGGAGCCCTTTGGAGGCCTCTGTGGAGGCCCCTGGAGGAGTGTAGGCCTTTGGAGGCTTTTGTGGAGAGCTGCCTAAAGGGTACCTGGCCTCTCGTGGGTGCTACGGTACCCCTGCCTGTGGGAAGGCAGGAGCGACCTGGATCGACCTGCGCCATCGATGTCGAGGGGCATAAGCGCCGCCCACCATCGAAGGTGGGCGGCCTATGCCGTGAGTCTAGGGTGTACTCACTTCGAGGTTCATGGGACTCGGTAGCTGGTTTTGCTGGGCTGCAGCCCTGCTTACAATCTCTCTTGCCTCGTGCAGGTCACCCTCTATTGTAGGTAGGGTTTTATTCCAGAGATGAGTATTACTCCGTCCCATGAACTTTCAAGCAGAGGAGTTTTGGAGGGTTTTTCATAGAGGGGAAGGATTCTGTAAAATTTCCGGGATTAGGATTTGGGATTTGGGCAAGGTGTCGGGGACCATGGTTCTTGTGGGATATTGAGCATGGGGATTGGCATGGTGTATCCTTAGTATGCAAGTGCGACTTTGGATAGTTCTGCTTTGTTCCAAAAATGCTGTCCCGCATATGCGGGGTCTTAAGCCCCCAAGAGGCCCATTATCGAAGAGCGCCCCCAAAGAATCCTTGATGGGCATCCTTCATAGTACGTGCACTCCCCTAGTCTTAAGAAAACACCCACTTTCGCAGAAGCCTCCGAAGCCAGGCAGGTGCAGAGGAGGGCGACTTAGCCGAAGCCTTCCGGGAGGCCTGAATTCTTGATTCAAATAAAGGTTTAGGGGGTCATGAAACCCTTGACCCTAAACGTGATGAGGTGTTTAGGGTTCAAGTGTTTTGAAGCTTGTGCGTTCTGGGGTGTATGGCTTGAGGGTTTATGGGGAGGGAGAGCTGTCATTCTTGCGTGGTTTAGGATTCAGGGGTTGGGCTGGCTAAGATAATTTGATTTTGGAGTTGCTCCTTTCAGACGAGTTCTGCCTACATATTGAAAGTGCCTAGATACCCATTTTACGGACTCCAATGTGGACCGTGACGGGGCGAACTCCCCTTTTGACTGGGTTGCTGTTGAGAAATTTGAATAAAGCTATTATTATAATGAGGAAGCCCTATCATGTAATTACGATCTTTCGATAATATGACAACTTAATTGAAGTTCCTTAACAGCAACCCGGTTGACGTTACATGGCTACTCAACTAGACACCGCCTTGCAATCGCATGCAGGTGCAGCTGGGAATCAAAAACCTCATTGCTTGACCCTACATGCTGTACCATTAAGCCAGAAGCCTCCAAACAATCGTTAACTTAAAACTGTAGCCCTAAACGTAGAAGCCTCGTAGTCCAGAACAGTAAGTAAGGAGGTCATTTGACAAGGTGCCCACAGGGCACAATCGTATATGATTAGACATTTCATGGTATTGCCCAATGCCTAGCACGCTGGGGAACACTTTCTAGAGAGAGTGGGTGCCTGACTCTTCGGTCCCTTGACTGTTGAGGATGTTACGCTGCCCCCGAAAGTATCCTGAGAGGGATTCTTGCAATCCTCTTAGAATCAATCCTTGACAGCCCCAATCTAAGTTCATCCCTTTATCTCAAAACCCTAAAACCCAAACCACAGGTCCCAAAATGTAGCCCGGGGGCCTTTGGACAGGCCATGCAGAGTGCAGCACCGGGTGACCTCGCGCTCGGCGCCATCACTTGGGCCTACGCAATGTGCCTTGCAGGCAGTGAGTTGTTTGGGCATCACCACAATAAGGATTATAGTGTATTTGGGTCTATATTGGGGTCCCCCTATTTTGGGAACCTACCATATTATAGGATGCCGCACTGGGATTGTTCAATATTAGCGGGCAGTAAGGGTAAATGAGGTGTATGGGACGAATCACTCGGAAAATGAAATGGAAGCTATTATGTAGGGTTTGCGACAAGGATCCTTCTGATGTGCACGGTTGACAGAGTTGGTGCAACTGCCTTTGATTGAGGTACGTGGCTGAATGGAAGCTGGCGGCCTCAACAGCGAGTCCACCTGAATGAATTTAAGAGATTGGATTTCATGATCGATTCAACAAAGCTTAGATGTTTACAAAAAGTATGATGCATCTTGCAGTTCGCAATATGATTTGCTTCTGCAGTCTGTGGAGGCAGTATCCCCCCAGTGCATGAATCAGCAGGCAAGGGCAGAGAGAACAGCTTGAAGCCCACTGCATGCTCTGACTTATCGGTTCTTGGTAGGGAATACGCAAACGTAATCCCTCTGGAATCCCAACATAATCCCTAGATAGTCCCTTTGTAATATATCCCCATGTTCCCCACTAAGAACCAGTCAGCTGAATCAAGGCTGTGCGTGCCAGACAGGTTGCCTCGGCCGAGCCAAAAAAACGAGTGAAGGTATATAGTCCCCCTTAAGTAGATAGAACATGGCTTTCGGTACATTATAATAAGATCCCCATATACCCCATATTCTATCTACTTAAGGGGGACTATATGTACTATAGTCTCAGCTCTTGAAAGAAGGCTATTTAGGGGATTATATGGGGGACATTTCGGGGTTATTCCTGGGGATACTGGGAGTTTAGACTATAGCTCATATGGGGGCTTTCCAACCATGACGTAGGTGTCTCCTGTAAAGTGTCTTTACAAGAAGATAAGGATTCTAGCAGATTGGGGTCTATCTACATTTGGGCCCCCCTATCTATGGAGACCTGATATATGTCAGTAAGTGAATTCACTGCAAATCGCCCCTTGAAACACCAGCAAGGAGCTGGAGGATGTGCCCTGCTGCATCATCCAATGTAGCTTCTTGTTGCTACTGTGGGGTGCGGCTTCGAAGATGAGAAGATGCTCGAGTGCCTGCATGGAAGTGTCCAGAAAGGAGAACTTGGCTGGACGGTGTATTGCTGCCCAGAGCTCTGGCAGCTCTACTCTGCCTGGAGTGCACTGAAGCAGGCCCTAAAGTTTCAGTTTTCAAGTACATTTGCATTCCCATGTAAGCCTTGGAATGAAGCCAAAATCCGACAGCAATGAGTGGCTCCTCCAATTACAGTAGAAACTGTGGCCTGCGTGCGGCCTGATGTCGCGGGCGATGGCAGGCGCTGAGCCTCTGCCCAGTTCATTGTCTTGGCACCGCGACTAGAAATACCTCGTACGTTATATGACGATGCGACGAATTCCTGGTATCGCGCTCTGCATTTAACACATGATGACGAGTTTCTTTCTCCTGCGTTAAGCCAAGACCTTAAACAGTAGTTTCCATTTCATTTTCCATTCTCCCTATATAGCCGCTATATCATCCCTTATAACCCCTATATAACCCCTATATAATCCCTATATAATCCCTATATAATCCCTATATAACCCCTAAATAAGAATCTACACGCATCTTGGTTGCTAGCCCTAAACCTGCAGCCCAGACCTCCAACTCCAAGCTCCCGAGCTCTGAGCTCCAAACCCCAACTTCCACACAAACCCTGGCCACCCACGCGATTTGAGGGTAAAAAGAGGGATTTAGGGGTGTATGGGGGTTCTATAGGGATATATAGGGTTTATTTAGGGATACATAGGGGTTATATAGGGGTTATTTAGGGGTATATAGGGGTAATATAGGGTAATGTAGGGGTTATATAGGGATAATTGAAAACAAAATGGAAACTACTGTCGGGTTTAGGGTGTAGGGACTCTTGAATCCTAAGCTTCTGAACCCTATTCGCCTGAAAAGGCCATGAAATTTCGCGAGTCCTCGTAAGAACGAGCATGGGTGTTTTGGAGTCCTTACAAGAAGGACCAGAATGTTGTGGTCCTAGATTCCTTCTATCTTGTATAACTATCTTCAACTAAGCCTCAAGATGATGTTGGCACTTCTTGAGGATGACATTATAAACCCCTGAATGAAGCCAGCTTTCTTTTAATTTGCCGTTTGCATTTCCATGTGGTATTCCATTTACTGGTAGTTCTGAGGCCCCCAAGCCCTTTTTAGTCCATAAATGGGGGGACCCAGAAAAGACCCCCAAAATGCCATGATAGAAAGGGGCTTGAAATTCTTGGGTATTAGGGGTACATAATCCCAATCCCTGAACCTCTGGACCCGCCTAGAGTTTTGGGGGTACATGGAAACCCACGGAGGTGAGGCCGACCTGGGTCACCCGCTGTCAGCACGGTCCGATGGTGAGATCCACAGCAGTGTTCCTGAACTGCTAGTTCCCGATAAGGGTGTATATGATGGGAATATCTATGGGATATGTAGGCGGGATAAAAGGATTTTATAGTAAGAATGGACAGACAATGGGAAAATCATGCGACCCTAAAGATATCCAGATATTACAAGCAGTTATCATCATGGTATGTCTGAAGCTTCAGGTGCAAAGGGGTTTTGCAGGGGAGAATCTGGGCATAATGGGTCTTTAGTAGTTTGGGATTTAGATTTTCTTTGGGCCTCAACCTAATTGTCAACTCAGTTTACTAGTAGGATTGCCCAGGCATGTGTAGCCATGAAATAACAATGCGTATCAGGGGTTGGACGGTTATCCTTAGCAATCTTTCTGTGGCCTGATCGTCCTGAATAACCCCTATCTCCCCTGTTGAAGGGGTTCCTGTAGTCTGTGTTCTGCCCCCACGCTGCCGCAGTTGGATTTTCTTTATAGCCCTTAACATGACCCCTCAAATAGACTGTTACAGGGTGAGGGCAACGTCCAACCTGTAGTCCTTAGACCCCTGCCATAATCCAAAGTGTATGAAGAGGTCTTGTAGGCACCTGGCAGTGCTATGTTTACTTTCCTCTGTTAAGTCTAGTTACAGGCCCTTACCATAAAACGTTACAGGGGAACCTTTGTAATTAGGGGGATGGGGGCTTTTCATTCGGGGTGCGATTACTCTTGAATTCTACTTGAGGGGGACTCCAGATTTCAGTCTCATCTTCCTCGTCTACATGTATATCTTGGGTTGCTACGACACTGAAAATCCTTAGCCCTGAAGCCTTAAGCCATTAAAGCCTCGTTGTCCAAATCCTCTTGTGGCAGTTGCCTAAACCCTAAACCCTATATAATTATATAACCCCATTATAGTAGTTTCCATTCTCTTCCCCATTATCCCCTTGTATCACCCTTTAGGTTGCTCCCTAAACCCTAATTAGGGTAGCCGGAAGTTGAGAAACCCCGTCGTCTTGTTGTGAGGCCCGGCCAGCATGCAGTCACATGGCTGCATTGGACAGAGGATGCCTTACTTTCCCTACCCACAAGGGTTTAGGGTTTAGGCCCCTACAAGTTGGGGCCCCTCTAAACTCCTATTGTGCTGGGGGAGAACTTGAGATATTGCTCCCCATGCAGAATGAAGCGCAGCTGCTGCTTGCTGGCTTCACACTCATACTGGGTTCCCTCTCTCGCGAAGGGTGTGTATCTGTATCCCTGCTTGCTTGTTTTAGGAAATGTGGAAAGCTTTTCAACGGGAGAGGTAGCAGTTCGTGCGAAACAGGGTGATGGATCTCAGCCAGCTGTGATCACGCACAGCAGGCCCGCACGGCTTTTGCAACACGCCCCACTTTCGGAACTGAGGCAGAAGATGATGCGTCAGCGTGAGCTGGTGCTGAAAAGACAAACGGAGGCAGCAAAGTCCTTTGGGGTGCAAGCCTGAGCTGCTGCATCGAGGGCGTGGGCGAGTGTAGTCCCCCGAGTCAGGGTGTCGGGCAAAGTGTGGTATGCTTTAGATATTGGCTCCGGGATTACGGGCCCATACTAGGGGCTCATAGTTGCAATCTTGGACTGTTGTAATCTGGCTTGCTTGGCTCAACGTCACGTTGAGGCTGTAGCGGGTACTGCCAAGACGTGTGCTGCCGTCGTCCGTCGTCCGGTAGCGTGACCTAAACCTTGAGCGCTCCAGCCTAAACCCTGGGCATAACCCCAGATCCCAAACCTTGGACCTTCGACCTAAGGTTTGAACTATCTTACCCCAGTATGGGCTCTTAATCCTTAGTGTCCTTGTATTCAGGGAACAGGTGTTTAGGACCTGGTTTAATCCAGGCACCTAAACTTTAGGTGCCTAGATTAAACTTATTCCTAGAGCCGAAGTCATCTTTGCAGAGGTTGTTGCGCAACAGCACCCGCCTCCACGGCCCGGCCCGGATACCCCGCGTCAGGCCCCTTTGTACTCGGGGTTCAGGGGAACTTAATAAGGAAGAGCAGAATTAAGATCCTCATAGTAAGGAATGGGAAATCACATGGAAATTGCCATGTTATTTAGTGTTTTGAGTTCAGTGGACTTAGTACATTTATACCTCCTAGAAGCCGCTCAATAACCGCAGTTATCCGCTTGGAAAATTGGGCGTCCAGTGTTGCGGGTCCCTACCTGATAGTACATTCGGGTTTATACTGGGGCCCCTATTTATGGAAACCTCCATCTAGGGTCCAGCAAAATTTAGGGTTGAGGAGTGTTTTGGTCTTCATCCTATCATCTGCTGGCGTAAAAGGGCTTGGTGTTACGTATGGGGATATCCAAGCATGATTAGATAAGAGATTCCGGGAGTTATGAAGGAAGATTTGCGGTTCCGGTGTTAGCCTTTCAACAATCAGGGCTCCTTGCAGCCCCGCAGCAAAAAATAAGAGTAATGATGGTATGTAAGGTGAATCCCAAACCCTGACCCTAGTTTTGGGAGCGTCCATATCTTGCCTGGAGGCTGATGAGAGGCTTTGATGCTGAGCGTTTAAACTTGAGGATGATGAAGAAGAGGGCGTGAGTAACCCCAGCCCCCAATATGAGGCCCCTAACATGGCCGTATGATAGTTTTTGGGGGCAGGGGTTACCCGAATCGGATTCAGCACTTACCTATTCTGCCCCAATTTGAAGTGTGGGTATAGGGAGATTCCCGAGAAGATTGCAAAGATGCTAGGAAGGGTTTTTCAAAAAATGGTCCCATTGAGATGGTCGAGCCTTTTGGGAGTCAGGCCGCGGTCTCCCGCCAAAAGGGATTGCATTGGATTTTGCGACTGAGGGGCTTGCAGTGCACGTTGGGGACCAGGTAAGGATTACGCAGATATGCGTGAGTCGCA